TTCTTTCCTATATATTTGTTTACTTTTTTCACTTAAAAATCATTTTTTTTTTCATTTGTATTACTTATGATTTAATTATCTATTTTTAAAAGCTTATAGTTTTCTTTATAAAATAATTTAAATTTAATATATATAATATATAAATATTTATAATATTTACTTGAACAAATGTAAATATTTTAAATATAAAAATCATAACCTTAAGTGTATTCAATATTTTCATAATCTTTTAATCATTTTTAACATTTATATTCATTTATTACAATTATAATATATATATTTTTATAATATTTATATATAATTATTAAAAATAAAATATATATTTAAATTTATTTCTTTAAAAAAACATTAATTATATATAAAATATTCTGTTTTTATATTTACCGCAATGCTAAAATAAGATTCCCGATATTAACAAAGACGGTGCTGCCAAATTTAACAATCAGCCTGTACTTAAAGTAGATAGTGATCGCATCTAAATATTATCTTTACATTATAAATAATCAAATATTTTTTTTTTAACTTAATATGTATGATATTTATATTTAATTTTAATTCTTTATCTTATTATTAATACAATTATTATTATATTATATAATTAATTTAATAGAATCAATTTTGAAAATAATTATTGTATGTTGTCCTTTATACTTCATATATACATGTATGAATATTACAGAGGTATTAAGAATCTACATTGACTTACGCGGCAGAGTGGAAAAACACGAATCCAAAATATGGCAAGTTCGTCAAGGTAAATTTTGAGAAAATTTTATTTGTTTGATTGATATTGATAGCATTAATTATAATGTTTTATTTTATAGATTATTATTATTTAAAATTAAATTTAATTAATTTAAAATTATTATGTTATGATTATAAAATTTGACAATATTATTTATTTATTCTCTATATATTATATTAATAAATTATATTTTAGAATATAATATATTATTCTATTTTCTTTATATTTTTATATCATTTACTTTTTAAATGAATAATTGAATAAATTTCAGTGTTTTACATTGTATATGAATATATTAAATAAAAATAAAACATTTTTATCTTTTAAATATTTTTTTTAATATAAGCATTATTATAAATGAATATTTATTATAAATGAATTATTATAAATGAATATCATTAATTATTACATATTTTTATAATTATCAATATAAATAATTAGTATAAATATAATAAAATAAATATATCAATAATATTTACATATATATGCATGTATACATTAATATTTGGTACATATTTTCTTAGTTCTTTTTTGCAGACATGAAACAAACAAAGTTTGTTGTTATGCACATCCAGACGCACCTCTTATTGAAGATTATAGAGCTGGAGATCAAATTTGTTCAGAATGTGGATTAGTTGTAGGAGATAGGTAAATAAATACATAATTTAAAAATAATATTATTCAGTAATATAAATTCAAATTAATTTTTTTTTTATTATATATAGAGTAATAGATGTTGGTTCAGAATGGAGAACATTTAGCAATGAAAAAGCTGGAGTTGATCCATCACGTGTTGGTGGTCCAGAAAATCCTCTTCTTAATGGTTCAGATTTATCTACAATGATTGGCCCTGGAACTGGTGCAGCATCATTTGATGCTTTTGGTGCTTCAAAATATCAAAATAGACGTACAGTAAATATTATTATACTATATTTATATGCTATAATATAATATATTTTTTTCTTTTCAGTTAATGAATTGTGTTGTTTTAGATGAGCAGTTCTGACAGAGCATTAATCAATGCATTTCGTGAAATCAATGGAATGGCTGATCGTATTAATTTGCCTAAAACTATTGTAGACAGAGCAAATAATTTATTTAAACAAGTACATGACGGTAAAAATTTAAAAGGACGTGCAAATGATGCAATTGCTTCTGCCTGTTTATATATTGCTTGTAGACAAGAAGGTGTACCTCGTACTTTTAAAGAAATTTGTGCAGTTAGCAAGATAAGTAAAAAGGAAATAGGAAGATGTTTTAAATTGATTCTAAAAGCACTTGAAACTAGTGTAGATCTCATCACCACAGGAGACTTTATGTCAAGATTTTGTTCTAATCTTGGACTTCCAAACATGGTACAAAGGGCTGCTACACACATTGCAAGAAAGGCTGTGGAAATTGATATTGTACCTGGAAGATCACCAATTTCAGTAGCTGCTGCTGCAATCTATATGGCATCACAAGTACGTAATATATTTTCTTTTATATTATATTTTTATAATCTTAACAAATTAAAAAATAAAATCCTCACAAATTTTGTTATTTTTTGTTTAGGCATCAGAAGATAAACGATCACAAAAAGAAATTGGTGATATTGCTGGTGTAGCTGATGTTACAATCAGACAATCATATAAATTAATGTATCCTCATGCAGGAAAATTATTTCCAGAAGATTTCAGATTTGCAACACCTATTGATCAATTACCACAAATGTAAATTTAACATGAAACTTTCATGTTAAATTGTATATTTTACCATGTTGAAACAATAGTTTCGTTTTTTAAATAATCATTTTTAAATAATTTAAAAACTTTATTTACAATATACATTCCTTAATGATCTTTAAAACATTGATCTATTTTAATTTATTATATTTTTTTTTCTTGAATTTTGTTCTTGCAAAGTTATATTGTCTAAAAGTAATATCTGCAATAATAATTTTTATAATTTATTTGATATGGATAATAAAACGTTTAATTCATCAATAAAATATTTATATTCTAATTTACATGTTTCAACATGTTAAAATTGAAAAAATTGATAAAAAAATTTTTTAAAATTAAAAATTTTAAAACAAAAGATTTATGTTTGATACCAAAAAATATATTAATTCTGAAGCTTTTTATAAGCAAACTACAAATTAAGTTGAGAATATAAAAAGAACATTTTTATATTTAAATTTTGTTTAAACATTGCAACAAAATAATTTTTTCTATATTTTATTTGCCATATAAAAATAATGGAAATTAAATATAATATACAATAAGCAATTTGAAAGTACCACACAATATAATTATATGATACATTCTGTGATACTTTTATTAAATATTGTAAGTCAAAAAATTATTGACTAATGGATTCGACGAAATTGAAAATTCGTCAAAAGACAATAGCCTTTCTTACAGGAAACATGTGTATATATTTTATTTTCGACTTAAAATTTATATAAGATAATAAATAAGGATATCTAAAAAAGATTTTTATTTTTAAAATTAAAAAATCACAATTTTATATATTTTGTAATTCATATAATTGGAATTACATATGTCATTGTTTATAATAGACATTAAAATTTTGAATATTAATGATCTTTTTTTTTTTCATTGCAAAATTCAATTATTTTTATTTTGAAATATAGAATATGTATATATATTAAGTTGTAATGTAACATTATATATCAATAAAGAGAATTGTTATGATTATTAAAATGAATTGATTTATTAATATCTTTATTATTGCAAAATATGATTTAAAAACATGAATATATATTTATATGTTCATATATAGAATCTTTAAATAGCTATTTGTCACTTTGTCAGTTATCATGTGATCTAATACCATTCTCAAAACTTATATTGTATAATAAAACATATAATAATTAAATTTTATTATGTAAATAATTATTATTTAATACTTTTACTTTTTAAAAATATCTTCAAAAAATTTTGTTTTTAAAATATTATGAATTACGCAATTTAAAAATAATATAAAGTAATATAACCTATATAATATTTTAATTTTACATATATACAATAATATAAATTTTAGTTACTATTTTAATTACAAAAAAAAGATTAATTCAAAATTTGAAGTTTTTAAAATTTTTATTAATAAAAATTATTAATAAAAATGAATTCAATACCACCTACTAAACCTCCAAGAGGTATTAAACCAACTAAAGAAACAGTAAGTTTATTAATTTTTCATTTATTTAATTATTATTATTTAATTATTATAATACTATAATTTTCTTAAAATTCCAGTTTTAATTCAATTTTATTTTAATTATATGTTTTTTTACAGAGTGGTTTATTAATTTCTGTAATTCGAGCATTATCAGCAAGTGAAACTAATGAACAACGAGAAATAGAAAAGGCTAAACTTGAAAAAGAATATAAAAAGAGTGATCAGAGACTTGATGAATTAGTATCATTACATGATCAGGATCTTACAGAAGTTATGCAAGTAAATATATAATTTAAATTAATATATAATTTAAAATAATAATTATATTGATAATATTTTCATCATTTTCTAATATAGATATTTAGTGCTTTGTCAGAGAAAGTAACAGCATCTCGGGAAAAAATTCATGCTGTTAAAGAAAATTTGAATGCTTGCAAACAATTATTAAGGTGTAAACGAGAAGAATTGTTAAATTTATGGCTTGAAGGAATTGAACATAAGCATGTTCTGCATCTTTTAAAAGATGTGTAAGTATTTCAAATTAATTAAAAAAATACTAAAAAAATAATTTTTTATTGTTTTTTTTTTAAATTTCTAGGACTCCTGATTCTTGCACCAAAATGTTACCTTTAACGGAAACAGATACATTATCAGTATCTACATCATATAATACAACATTAGATTGATAATTACTGTATTTATTTCTATATAATCATAAATTAGTTATAATTTAATTATTTTATATTTATAAAAAAACAAAATATAAAATTTAAATCTTAAATTATGGATTTATATTATGTAAAATATTAGTTTTTATGCTTGATATAATATTTTTTTTATAATAATAATAAAAATATATACATAATTTTATAAAATAGAATTTCATATTTGCCGCCAAAGAATTGATTTAAAAGTTACTAGCTTAACTAATTTAATTAATAATTATTAAATTTTTAATATAAATAATAATGATTTATTTATTTCGTAAATGATAATTAAAATTCTGGCATATTTCTTATAATAATTTGTTTTAAACATGCATTAAAAGTAACTATTTTAAACGTCTAATCAGTCAGTGGTTCATGATCATGGTTATATGACGCATATGATATTTGAACTCATATTTTTAATATTGTATGCATATGTGTACATTATTAAGCTAAAGTACATAATAAATCTTGTTAATAATTCATTTTTTTATACTGCAAATTTATTAAATTTTCAAAACTTACATCGTAAGTATTTTTAATATATAATTTATTGGGTTATGTCGAATATCTTTTTATCATTTTATCATAGTATAATTGTTAATATGATTTATATATGATTCTTAAAAATTATATCTGGAAAGTATTTTTTACACATTTAAATATTTTTTTAAATTCTAAATATAATAATATTTATAATCATTTACGATCTTTCCAATATTCATTATTCATATATACATAAATATTTCTTCTTAATGTTTTCTTAAATATAAAGCAGCTAAATTTGTATATAAAATATCAATACAAAATATTTCATTTTTTATAAAATAAATTATACGTATTTTAATATATGTACATATATATCTTGTAATAATCATGTAATATTTATGTTAATATATATATCTTTGAATTTCAGAATCACTGCATTTTTAGAGAATAAATTTCAATTGGAATTTAATTTAAATTATATGAACAATATAAATAATATTAAACAATGTGAACAACACAAATAAATATTATTCAATAAATATTTTCGAAAAAATTCTTAAAATAATTCACTAATTTTTTTATTTTTTTAAAAAAAGAATTTCATTACTGCAAAATAAATTATAAAAAAATATGTGCTTTTTTTCGGAGTTTATAAGTTGCCTTATAAATACAGACTAAATTATCAAAATATGGGATTGTGTTAGCTAATTCAAGAAGATTAGTTATTTTACCTCAACAAATTTTTTACAAATTTATATATTCGGTTTAGCTAAGCTTGAAAAGCAAGCATTTATTGTTGCAGGTAAAAATGGGGACATTGGAATTAAAACAAACTTTGAGTGGTCATAGGGGAAGGGTATGGAATATTTGCTGGCATCCAAAGGGTAGTTATCTTGCATCTTGTGGTGAAGATAAAACAATTATAATATGGGGACCACAAGATCCAAAATGGGTTGTAAAAACGATTCTTATTGAGGGTCATACTAGAACTATTAGAGAAGTTGCATGGTCTCCTTGTGGAAATTACATAGCTTCTGCTAGTTTTGATGCAACAACTGCAATATGGGATAAAAAAACAGGACAATTTGAGTGTAATGCAACTTTAGAAGGACACGAGAATGAAGTGAAAAGTGTTAGTTGGTCTTGTAGTGGACATTTATTAGCTACATGTAGTCGTGATAAATCTGTCTGGATATGGGAAGTTAATGATGATGAATATGAATGTGCTGCTGTTATTAATGCTCATACTCAAGATGTCAAGAAGGTAAGTAGATGTATATATATATCACAGGTAATATATTATATATAATATTATGATATTATATATTATGTTAATTATTAAAATGTATATTATATTTTAAATTTGAATTATCAATATCTTTAAATTATTATAGGTAAGATGGCATCCTAATGAAGAAATTGTAGCATCTGCTAGTTATGATAATACAGTAAAAATATTCAAAGAAGATATAGTGGATAATGATTGGTCATGTGTAGCAACATTATCATCCCATACATCAACAGTTTGGAGTCTTGCATGGGATAAACAGGGTAATCGAATTGCAACTTGTAGTGATGATCAAACAGTGAAAATATGGCAAGAATATAAGCCTGGTAATGAACCAGGGATTATTACAACAAATAATGAATCTGTTTGGAAATGTGTGTGTACAATAACTGGTTATCATACAAGAACAATTTATGATATTGATTGGTGCAAAATAACTGGTTTATTAGTGACTGCATGTGGTGATGACATTATTAGAATATTTAAAGAAGATAGTGATTCTGATCCTCATCAACCGACTTTTACAATGGTTTGTTCTATGGATACTGCACATACTCAAGATGTAAATTCTGTACAATGGAATCCTATTGTTCCTGGACAACTTGCATCAGCTAGTGATGATGGTTTAGTGAAAATTTGGTTTTATAATGAATAATTGTTATTTTATATAATTGTATTCTTCAATAATAAACAACAATAAATTATTTATTTATTTTTCATTAGATTTTCCCATTTAATAAACTAATATTTATATATATAATATATATAAATATTTATATTATATTTTATAATTTGTTTTACTTCTTTTCTTGTTTTAGGTTGTCATAAATGTTTAAACAATTCAGTGGATTTAAACAAAGCTATAAATTGATAATTTTCAAGATTGCATTTAGATACAACAAAATATTTTGTACAATGACTGATATTCAGAATAATTCTACTGGGATTCCTTTAAACCAAGTTGTAGATACACTTAAAAATTTTGCAAATCTATCACTTGCAGATTCCTGGGATAATGTAGGATTACTTATTGAACCTACAGAAATAAAATTGATTTCACATATTCTTTTAACAAATGATTTAACTGAAAATGTAATGCAAGAAGCTTTAAATTTAAAAACAGATATGATTATTACTTATCATCCTTTGATATTTTCACCTATGAAATCCATAACAAGTTGCTCATGGAAGGTAATGAAAAATTTTTATGTAATTTTTAAGTAAACATTTAATTAAATTATTGAAACAAAAGAAATTTTAGGAGAAAATTGTTGCAAAATGTTTAGAACATAAAATAGCTGTGTATTCTCCACATACTACATTCGATTCGATTAGAGGTGGTGTAAATGATTGGTTAGCTTCCACATTTGAAAATGGTAAATTTAAAACATTTTTTTTAATTTTTCGTTTTTAATATTATATATAATATATAGTTATGTTATATAGTGCTCGAAAATAGCATACCCATAAAAGCAAATGTAAATAATAGTGATTATGGTTTCGGACGATTATGCACTTTAAAAAATAAAATTTCTATTGATGAAGCTGTCCAACGAGTGAAAGAACATACTAATTTGAAACATATTAGATTAGCTCGTGCATTTCAAACAGGTATTGAATTTTTTTTTGTTTTTCTTATCTTTTTTAAATTAAAAATATAACATAAAGGAACTAATGTAATATTATAATATGATATATATATATTTACTTTATATATATATCATATTTTAATTTTTAGATGGTTTAATTAAAACTGTTGCCGTTTGTGCTGGATCAGGAGCATCTGTTTTAAAAAACACATCCGCTGATTTGTATCTTACAGGAGAAATGTTGCATCATGATGTTCTTGATGTAATACATAAAGGAACTAATGTAATTTTAACAAATCATTCTGATTCTGAACGTGGTTTTCTGAAAACATTTGCATTTACCTTAAGTAATATGTTGAACAAATCTGTAATGGTACATGTATCTGAAAATGATATTGATCCTCTAAAAATCGTATAAAATATTCAAAAAAAAAAAATTAAAACTGATATAAACTGAATAAAAAAAAAAAAAAATAAACAGATTAAGATGGATATATACATTACATATGATAAAATTTTATTATTAATATTATAATTATCAGCTCTATTTAGAGATTGACAATTTTTTATTTCAATCTGATGAAGTTAGAGAGATATCAGGAAAGATAAGTACATAAACAAATCATATATTGCAATTCAACAAAAGTTATTTACAGCAATAACAGAAGTTATGTTTAAATTTTTATATATAACGCTCTTAACTACTTTTACAATTTATCTCTGAACATGTGTAACCATTATAGAGAATTCTTTAATTTGATTATCGAAATAATTTTTTTCATATATTCCATCATTCACTCACTTTTTATAATTTTATAATCTTATTTGCATTCATTCAAATGTTCATACGTTGGTTACGAAGAAAAACGTGATTTTTAACAATATTACGTACGCTTGTAATCGACGCTTATTAAAAATTTATAACTAAATAAAATATAACAGTCGTTATACTGGTCCAATTAGAATGATTTTAATTTTGGGTCCGCGCATCCAATCTTTTTTCTTTTTCTTGCCATTCTTAATGTGTAATTTTCTCTTTCTCAACATTGTCTTTATAATTCGTTTAATAATATATGAAAAGTAGTTACACATAGTAAAGTTCCATTTTTAATTATATTCTCTCTTATAATTCAACGAAGATAAATTTACAATTCTAAAACCTGATCTCTCATTTTTGTTCTATTATTATAATGCATTATGTCCGTATGTATATGAATATACAAATGACAAAATGCACGATGAACACGTTATAAATTGAAATTTTCTACATCACCACAAATGGTGTGGAAGTATACCCTGAGCTCGGATACCCAAAAAATATCAATCGCGTGTTACGTTGTTTATTGAAAATATTTACAAAATCGATAATGTAAAACTTAAAATTGAATGGATCCGAATTAATAGATTATTAGATTAATATATTTTTGTTCCTAATCGATTAGTATTTTTAGCTTTATGTTTTAAGTTTAACATTCTTTATACTGCGATAACAATTTTTCGTCAATGTCATTGCAATTTTATAAAACTCGACATAAATGAGCAATACGACGATTTCGCAGCCATGATTCAATATTTTTATATTTTATTAGAATTATATGATTGTATGTATTGTATAAGAAACATTACATATAATTTGTCGAATCATACAATGTCGTGATGCATGAAATTATAAAAACATGTTGCTTGCTTGTCTACATATCTTAAGCCTAAATCGGGATTATATTCTATTAAGAATACTGTTCAATTTTTTTTTTGGAAACTTTCTACAATAAATATTATTTATTTATTATTTTTAAAAAATATTAATTTGAATTTAAGCGAAATCTATTGAATTTATAGATTTTAATGTTTAATCAATCAATATATTGGTCGAATTTCATTCAATATATCGATAATTATCGTACCTTGCGCTAATTGTGATTAATTAAACAGCAATTTTAATATAAATATAACCCGATATAACTTGTTTTGAATCTTCATAGAAAATTGTATTTGCATGTAGATATTAGTATAATTAAAAAATAAAAGAACAATTTCTATATTTTTTTTTTAAATAAAAAATATTACTCTTTTATCATTCTTTTTTAACGTGAAACGTATTTTTTATTCTCACTCAAAGTTATGATTCGTTGAACATCTAGAACAAATTTAAAGATAATCTAGATTTATTTAGTACCTTCAATCCGGATTCTCAATTTACATGGTTGAAGGCTATTTCATGTTTTTTTTCTGTCTTTTGTCATTTCATAAATCAAATTTTTTTTTTAATTCTGCATATTTTAGAAAATGTAACCTATCATACATACATATTCAAATAAATGTATTTTTTTATAACGATTAAAAGTTTTAATCACATTTCAACAATAATTCGTATATTTTCTTTGGCAAATATAATATATTGTCTTATAACTGTAAATCCAAATAAAATCATATTTCATTAAACGGTTCATCCTGTGAATTATTATATCATCGAGTTTACTTTTCATTTCCTTATTTCTTTTTACGATATAGGATATCTCAGATTTGAAAGATAATCGAAATATTTAATTTGTTATTAATAGAATTAATATTTACTACTATATATTGTTTTAAATAAAAAAAATTATTAGTTATAAATAAAATTATAAATTAATAATGGAAAATTATAACTCAGAATTTAAGAAGATTCCAAAAAATTTTTTTCAAAATATTATGTATAGGTTTTGACTACTAAAAAAGATTAGTTAAAATATAGATATAGATATCAATTTAAGTTCTATATGTATATTGATTTAAAATAATATAAATTCAAAATAATTTCAAAATCAATATCGTATTAATTTCATATTAACGTTAGACTATTCACAATTTTATAATTTTACGATGCGCATTAAATATTAAAACAATATTTTTATTTAAATTTTTTATTATATTAATAATTTAATATAATAATCTATATTTTTTTAATCTTTAGATAAATGAAAGAAAAAATATGTTGCTTTACATTTAAAAAAAAAAAATTAAAAATATTGTAAACTTTGTAAAATTATAAAATTGTAAATTAGTTACTATAATACCAATACGAGTATTAATTGTGAAGCTGTTTTGAAATTGATGTAGAACCAAAAAATAATATAATTATTATAGAATTGATATAAAATTAATTTTCAAAAATCGAAATCGGAATTGATAGTTATAATATCGGTTTCATTTTTATAACAATTTTAAAATAATTTCATAACAATTTCCAATTCTAATTGAAACTAATATATAAAAATTTTAAAGATAAATATAATTTAAAGTTTATTATGATTGAATTTATTTTCTGTTAATTAAAATAATCATTATTTAATAAAACTTTAAATATAACTAAAAATATAGATTATATTAATTTTTTAATTCTAATCTTCATTCAATTAAATAAAACAAAGTATATTTATTATATTTAATTCTAAGACATCCTATATATTAATTCTTATTTTTTTATTGTTACAACAAACTACTTTTCTTATAATATATTCAGCATCCGTTGTGTCGCATCATGGTCCGATTCCAACTTCACTTTTTTTTTCCTTTCTTGCACATTTTTTCCCTTGTGTTCTTGATCCAATAAGATCATTTTATAATTCCATTATTTATCAATATTTTTTTTAGTATGAATCGTATACTTTCAAGATGGTTGTCACTTCCTCTTCATAACAGCTATTTTCTGAATTTACTTGATTTTTGGAAAGCAGCTATCAATGATGTATTATTTTACTCTGAAATCGTAAATTATATTATTAAATTATGATATTATTAATTATGTTTAATCAAAATTTTTTAATCGTTTATATTTAAACGTATTCAAAAAATTTTTACATAAAAAGTTTTAAGATATATCTTAAAATCTTGTACCTTATATCTTAATCAATTCTTACTCGTTCGGCATTTTAAGTATGGATGATTTATGATTAGCCAACAAGTTTGGAGGATATTTAATTTAATGTAATATTTAAAAAGTTTTAGAAAGATTAAATTTCGTTAAATCAATTTTGTTAAATCGTCACTTTTTTCTTCTCCATTGTATTATTATAGATGAGAATAGAATTTTATTCGAAAAATATACTTGTACATTATTTCTTCAAAAATTTATTGATTAATATCGATGATTAAATAAAAATTATATATATATTGTAAAAGATATGAAAAAATTTTCAAAACCATTTAATTTGAATATGAAAATAAAATATAAAACAATCCTTGAACGACCGAAATTATAATAAGTGATAATAAGTGAATGATAATAAGTATGAAATTGATTATCGCTATTATCATTTTGCTTATTCAAGAATTGTTTTATTTTGCACTTTAGAGATCATATACATCATGAAAATACATTTTATAATACATTTTATACATAATCTAAAAATTTCATCAAACTTGGTTGTAATCAATTATAAATGATTAAAGAATGAAAATTGTAATTTTTCATAATTTTCTCTAAAATCCAAATTTTTATATTGATTGTTACTTGTTTTTGCACCAACGAAAAAATTTTAATAAAATTTGTAATATATATTTATAATTTATATATATATATGTAGCATATATAACTGACATAAATCTACAAAATGAAGTTTATTAATTTTCATTAAAGATTCAGATTAAAAAATTATCTTATTTTATACGTTATTGATTAGTAAATTAATTCATCAAAAAAGTTCAAGTCATTAAATTCAATTTTGAAAAAATTATCGTGTTTTAAAAGGTATATTATAATATTTTTTTGGTATATAATATTGTAATAATGATTAAAAAATAAGAATTAATATGGCACTGATCAGAAAATTTGAATGTATTTTATTCATACAATTTTATATGTTAGAATAAAAAACACATATCTTTTCTAAATAATATTGTTGCTTGATTAATCGTTATATAGTTTCTTCTTTAAACGTTTTTACGACAAATCATTCGAGATTCAAGAACTTACCAATGAATATTCGTAATGAGTATTTTGTAATGTCATGACGAGGCCTGGTTCAATAACGATGATTCAGGAAGGCTAACAAAGTTGTTGAAATCATTACGAATGGCAGATTCGCCAACCTCAGTTGGCCACCGTGTTGCATCGCTGCTGGATGTTCCCCTGCCGAACAATGATTAAAATTCAAATTGAATTCCGTCCTAGCATCCGTCGTCTTATTGGAATTGTTTCTCTGTTATATGGTAAATATATATATACAAGTATATAAATATCTGTCATGTTAATCTCGTCAAAAAATTGAGGAAAAAAATCAAAAAAAAAAAAAGAATTAAGAAAAGTTATATATAATTGAAATTCTATTCATAATAATGATTTCATTTTTTTAAAATGAATATTAATATATGATATTATTATATAATGAATATTATTAATAATTATATTCTTTCGCGGTTATTATTTATATAGATAAAAATTTCGATTTCTTGATGAAAATAAGATAAAAAAAATTAATTTTTATGTTAATTTTTTTCCAAATTTGAATTTAAATAAATTTTTTAAAAACTTAAAATTTAAATTTTTTATTTTAGACTAATAATTTTAATAGAAGCGTTATTATACTTGATTCATAAAGAAATAATATAATACTAAAAAAAAAAAAAAAAAAAGTAAAAAATATAAAATATTAATTTGAAGATTTTTAAAATTATGAATATTTACTTAGAATATATATACTTATGTATATAAATATATATACTTCCTTCTATATATTTATATTTTTGTATTTCATATTTTTCTATGAATTTGTCAATTATTTTAAATAAATTCAAGATTAATATAGATAAATGTTTCTAATAAATTAGAGATTCGAATTTGAAATTCGATTTGATTGATTGTTTCTCATCTTTTCTATATTTCCTTCCTTTTATTGATTCAAAAATTCAAATTAAAATATATTAATAAAAACAATAATAATTCCAAAAAAAATTGGATTTTGTCACTATTTTGCTATACTATAAATTCTATAATTTGTAACTATAAAATCACGAGAAATATAATTTATCTATCAATATGTATTAGATTACAGTATATAGGGGGGGAAAAAAAATAAATCTTTTTTTAAAAAGCAAATTTCAATTTTTTTTCTTTTTAATATACATGGTTGTTAGAATTTAAAACAACCTTCGATACAATTTTCATCTACATTTATAAATTTTTTGTACTAGTCTGAAAAATTTTCCAATCATATTTTTGAGAAAAAAGCATATCAAAGAAAAGTGATATTTATCTTCATATTTTGAAAAGTCTGTCTAAGCAAAGAAATTCTTACTATTATACGATAGCCTCTTATGTATCCTGCGATTCTAACATTGAGTGTTTCTCTGATTTCTTCGAGTGTGGACGCATTAACGCGATACAATAGCTATTATTATAGTGTGCAAAGAGTTCGCTTTACTTAAGAAAGTCGGGTCGTTTCCCTCTCCACGATGCTTTCCTATTCTTCACCGCTATTATATCTTTTGTATTTATTCGATGTCTCATTAAGATTTGAAATATTATGGAATAAACAAAATTCAAAAATAAGAAATAAAAAAAAAAAAAAAAAAAAAAATAAAAGAAATTAATCGAAATAGAAATTTAAAAAATAAAAAATACAATATAAAAATACTATTTTAAGAAAGAATAAGATAAATTAATTATTTTAATGGAATATTTGTTATAATAATGATATAAATAATAAAGCAATGACATAAATAATATAAATAATAAAAGGAAAATTTATAAAGGATCATATACGAATGGATCTCTTTCCATTTGAAGGATACTTTTTGGAAATTAGGTTAGAAAACGATCTTATATGATGTATGTGACATTTGATGTATGATAAAGACACACATGACAAAATTGCAAAAATAAGATGCTACTACTAAGATAGTCTTGCCTTAAACGGATAAAATCTTTGCCAGAGACTATAGACAAGAGGATATATATCGATTTTATGATAAACCATCATGGTCACCGATAGACGTTTATCTTTCTTTGTCAGACACGCCCAACTCCCTAATCCGGAATTCCACTACTTCCCGAAGGTTATCTCCCTGGCAGTATGGTTTTGCAGAGAAGGGATGACTGCAACAATAGCTGAGTTCAGCTTGACGCCCCATACACTTTGAGAAATCTCTTTAATTACTCTTCTCGCTTCACCAAATGCTTTTTGCTAAGCCCGTTATCTTCCGGCAAGAACGATCGGATTCATTCGTTTCATAAATGTGGCCAAAGCCCCGATGAAAAACGACAAATCTTTCTACGCTGTTATGAAATACTACTATTTCTTTTTTTTTTTGTTTCAGTCCCTTTTGCAATATTTTTTTCTTTTTCTTTTTTTTTTTTTTTTTTTTTTTTCGTTTCAAAGAGCAGAGATAAGAGTTCAGATTTTTACACTAGGAACATGATTACGACAACAACGAGTAGTTTTTAACGAGAATTCATTAACGGGTCAATTAATGAAAAACTTGTGAGATCTCTTTTTCACGAACTTTCCTCTCTTTATTTCTTCTATTCGCCATTATTGACGAGTATGTTTGGTATATAAATATGGCATATATATCAAAGCGAAGATTACTTTTATTGAAAAAGTTAAAATAGTTATATTTGGATATAATAAATGGACAAATCGTATATAACAGTTCGAATGGTGCGAGTTATCAATTACAATGTCGAGTGCATTGAAGCAATCACATAAAAAGAAGTTGCCACCTATCAAGAAGTTTATAATAAAATAATCTTGAAATGGATGTCTTTCATGTCTTCCATAGTGAAAAGGAATATACATATTATATAATCGATAGATGAAATTTCATTTATACCAAAAAAAAAAAAAAAAAAAAAAGAAGAAATAGAAGTAGAAGAAATCTTTTTTTGAGCATCTATAAGGAAAGATTAGTTTTTTGTTGATTCTGAATTAATTTATATAAATGCAAAATATAAAAGATTAAAAAATGTTAACAAATATAATAAGTAATAGTAATAAAATCATACATTGGAAAAGTCTATTAATTTTTTTCACGTAATTTATTTTTTTAAAAATCTGGGTAACTGTAATAATTAATAAAATATTATATATAAAATCTTATTTTCAAAAGATTTCCAATACGTGATATCTTAATAAAAAAAAAAAAGAAAAAAAAAAGACAAAGACAATAAGAAGGTAAGGAGAATGCTTTAGATGATAAAGTTAGTCTCGTTTCCTCGACGTTACGTTATATTATATAAAGTGGAAGTACCTAAATAACTCTGTTGTTTTTATGGGCATAGGAGGAAAGTCTTCAGGGGCGAAATTGCATTGTCCGAAAGCGTAGCTCATTTTTATATTCTTATTTCGCTTTTCTCGAAAAATGGAAAAGAAGAAAATAACCATCGAAACTAAGATTTTTCAACAATTTCAAAAAAAGTACTACTGTCCTATTACTACATCTTCAATTATCCTTCTACTTCGGCTGTTATAACTCAAAATGATTGGGACGTCGAGGATGGCAAGTGGCGTAAATCAATTTCATCTCATCTTGAGAAATTCATACTTAAAGCTTGTTATTCAATTTCAAGTAGAACATCGAGGTAACTCGATTTTCCGTTTCTTTTGACTTGACCCTTTTACTTCTAGATGACTCAATTAAGGAGTAGCAGCTATACTTAACTCGGAAAATTTCTTCTTCTCTTAAGATATTTCATATCTTGTTATTAAAAGTATCAATTTATCAAATAATTTACTTGAAAGCGTATTATTTGAATTTTATTCTCTATTTTCTAGTTTTCACTTTTCCATTATGACGTTTGAAATAGATGATTAGAAAAACATTTATAGACAAAATTTCATCGTTCACCTCGTTCAAAGTGTCAAACAGTTGAAAGTTTTGGTGTATTATAGCAGTTTCCACGACATAGCTAGGTTGTAAAATCGGTCAAGTGTCGAAGTTTACATGAGGAGATGATTTTGGAGGAGAGAATTGGCAGAAATCTGATGAGATAAGGAATTGAAAGCTCTGTTACAATCGTATTAACTTCAATTTCTTCATCTCTTTTAACAGAGTATTGTATGAAGCATCAAGCAAGCCCTACCATGATTAATTTCGAGATATGTTTTGACATGAGATTTCACATAGTATGGCAAAATAGATACGTGCACGTGATAATTAGTAATATGGATATGAAATTCAAACAACGAATTATTAATTAATATTAATTATTAATATTGACAACCTGCTGATTAGATCCATTCTAATTAATCTTAACGAGCTTGAAATACATTTTGTGATAAAATTATAAAACACCTTATAATTTTCAGAATTTTTCAGATTATCTAATTTTTATATAGCACTATTTCTTTTTTAATAATGTAAAAGAAGGACAACCGTAATTTATATTTTTTTGTCTATTTTAAATTTTTTCGTTTACATGAAAAATAGATACGACAAAATTATAAGATAAAACTCATCGATGAAATTTTGTTATTTAAGAAATTGGAATGCATTTTTCCATGTTGAATCTGTCGTATTTGTCACATTAAACTTAGGAATAAATATAAAAAAAAATATGGATTCTTCTTATATCGAATTATATTTTGGTTATAATTGCAAGATAGTTAAAAAAAATAATTTTTTTTTTTCAACATTTCTCAATTTTCTTATCAATTACATCATATAATATTATTCTTCTCTCGTAATTAAATTAAATTTGATTCATCATCCCAAGATTTTCTTTTGTCGAGACATACCATTTTGAATTTATTCCATTTTTTAGAACGTATGAATAAAGATTTATTAAAAAATTATTTCGCCTTGATGTTTGAAAAACCATGCATGCAAATTTTCGTCCTATTAACCTCCTACTTGAAAAAAAAGATAACTTCGAATTTTCGTAAATTTTCTTTTTATCGTCAATAGATTAAAAATGGAATAACCTCAATGGTGTATTTATAATAAAAAATATTTGTAATACATAAAAAAAAAAAATATTCTACGCTGTTGGATTGGTTGGCATCTATCGTTCTCATTTCGCTTGCCTAAGGGTTCTTTTTTTCAATGGATAAATATTAAGCGTGGCGACGATTTCAGCGGAATGCTTCAATATAATAGCAGCAATTTTTTGAAAATATTTCAAAAATTAAGATCAATAATTATATATATATATATATATATATATATATATAA